AATGCATGCCTGCTTGGTTCCCGTCCTCGATGCACGCTATGCATGACGCTTCACAGAAACGCTTCTCCCCAGCACCTGTCGGTGTCACTCCTCCCCTTGCCCAGCAGGGGTCAGTGCGATGCAGGCAAGAACCTTGCTAGGCTGTCTCTGTACATGGGAAACAGCTGAGGCTGGGTGACTAGAAAAGGGCCAAAGATCACTTTGGTTTCTTATTACAGGCTGAAAGGTGAAGAGTCAGCTGGACCTACCTGCTATGGGGAGAAGGCATGCCATTTTTGCAGCAACTGACAGCTGTCATTAGCCCCAGGCATCGAAAGGGTACGTAGAAATATGCTGCACTGCCTGGAAACCTTTTGGAGGACAATATACTGAGGAAAGGTAGTGGGTCTCCTTCACGCCTGTCCCAGAAAACAGGATAAATAAGGGAGCACATGTACCGTAACTACATCGGACAGGGGCTAACGGATAGGAGCAGCAAAGATGAAGTCCCGTTGCTGCCTTGGTGGGAGATTCTGTATGCAGTGCCAATCTAAAAACTCTTCAGCAGTGCCTGTCTTGCAGCTTTTGCTGCAAAGAGATCATGGAGACGTGACGATACACATGCAGGTGCTGCTGGGAGCTACCTCTGTTCTGAGTCAGTTCCCAGCCTATTAAGCCTAAGGGCAGCAGCATCCTGGTAGCTGGGGTGAATTTTCTAGAAACTGATAGTTACTCTGACTTGGACAGAGGGTAATTCTGTTGGCCCGTCATGAGATGATCAACACTAGACATAGAAGTCAGGCCAGTGTGGAGGATACTAGTATGTAACATTCTCATAAAGGCTGAGACTCCATCTGGCCATTTCTACCCTTCTGGAGAGTCACTCGTTCAGTAAGTGAGGATTGGGGTTTGGACTCCACTGATTCAGACAAAGGAAGCTGGATAGAAGTGAAGTACGTTCCATCAGCTGCACAGTGGAACGCCAAGCAACCACCTCTCTGCGCTGCATCCCAGCAGCACTCTTTTTTAGGACATCCTAGTACTGCCACTCAGCCACTTACCGAGGGGAAGGCTGCTCTCGGCCTACGTGGCATAGGTTCCCCAGGGACTGTCTCCTGCAAACCTCCTTTCCAAGATAAGTAGTTCAACCTGTACTGCCACCTTCTTGTGGCAGATGAGCTCTGTGGGCTGCATCAGGTAGTCTTTGCTATCAAAGGAAAGGGGAGAGGTATGTTTTGACTATTCTGTAATTGCATTAGCTTTGCCTGCCTTCTGTCGTACAGTTCTGGAACTCAAGACTGCTCCCCTCCTGCAGCTGTGATGAACTGTGTTTCTACCCAGCCTTATACTGCCCCCGCAGAAGCAATGCAGAATGGTTGTGTTTAAGGCAGGGCCAGGCACCACAGGAAACGGTCGAGTAGAGACCTTCTGCACTCAACCAGCACTTTAAGGAGGTTAAATGAAACAGTGTGCCCACATCACTAGAAATATGTACAATTGTGGGGAGGCACGAACAGTCCAGGAAGGAGGGAAGTGTGAAGGACGACAGTGCGAAGTAATGCCTCTTTTACAGGAACGTAACCCAACCAGGAACCTTGAGATTTTCCCTAGAGGAATCCTCCAGAAAACTCTCCCATCCCTTAACCTTCTGCCAGTTTAAAGGCTGCCTGTGGCTATTATTCCCAGAGAGATTCTCCAGAGTAGGGATGCAGGTGTATGATACTGCAACTGCCCCAGGGAAGCACCTGCTGAGAGCAGAGGGGCAGCTCTGCCTATAAGCTTTCCCTGCCATAGCTGAGACAAGCAGCATGACAAAGACGGCATTTTGCTTCAAACCCCTCTGAGTTTTATTTGTTTTAGATGCACGCTCATAGGCAGGACCTACACGCATGGCAGAGTCCAGAGGGAGTAGGGGTAGGCAGCTGGGAGGGGGCAGGATGGACACCTGATATTCTAGCAGGGAGCCCCATTCAGCAGCTGAGAGCAGAGACTAAGATGGGATGCACTGGCCTTGGTTTCTGTAATCAGTTTTATTTACGAGGAAGCCAAAGGATAAGGCAGCTCCTTCTTGTCCTGTCCGCTGTCCAGTGGTAGATCCTGAATGGACTGACCCCTTTCACTCAGCATAAGGTAGAGACTGCCCTTGCTACTACCCAGTGGTTGATTTGGGGAGGAAGGGAGTGGGTTGCAGGGGCAGAGACCAGGTGTAAGAGTCCTCTCCCCTTCCTGTGTTGGTAAGGGAGAAGTGTCCATAAACACAGGGGAAAAAGAGGTAGGTGGTGGTGCTATCCCCCCTGCAGATGTACCACCAGAATGCTGTTTCCACACTGCATATTTGGTGGCAGTAGATCCCAGGTAAGGACAAAGGTGGTCTCTCCACTAGCATCCATTGCTCGCATGTACAGGTCCTCTCCCCTGCTGACCACAAGGCATGCTGCCTGGCACCTAAAAGGACTGTGACTTATACCTTGTTCAAGGCACACAGTTGAGCCAGGCACCACTGATGTCAGAGGGCTTTACAGTCAGTGGCCTCTCTTTGCTGCTGCTGTCTTCCATAGCTATGCAGTCAGTACCTGTGCTGTGCCTGCGTGCATTAAGCTGGATAATGTACTGGAGACTTCTTCCTAGAGCTTCTTTAAATGGCTAATGCAGAACCAAATGGGAAGGTGCAGGAACGGTCTGCTCAGCCATCTAGCCCTTTGCATCTGGTTAGCATCCTTGCCCGCTAGGACTCAGCACTTAGAGTTACTGGTTGAAGAGAGCTGCCTTGAACGGTGAGTTTTGGCTAAAATCAATGGTCTCTGGCAGCAGGGGCCCCTTGTGGCATGTGTGTTGGTGCTACCACTGCTCCATGAGATGGCAAGTTGCAGCAACTGTAAGAATCTGCTTCCTGCGGAGCTCCTCCACAGACGTGTGCGCCAAGTCACAGGGGTTGGCTTCTTTTGCCTACAGTTGCTGCATAAGTAAGCTGAGCTCTACGAGGCCTTTGCTTTCCTTTCCTTTCTTGCCCTAGATGCCATAAAAGTGAAGAAGAGCTTGGGGACGAGCGTTCGCAGGTAGACAGCCAGAGAGGGCATTAAACCAGCAACTAGCACTTCCTTCTTCTTCTGTCCCACTGCATAAAGAACCACTTGAGCCACCTCTGAAGCCGTTTGGCCCTCCAGGGTGTTCTTGTCCATCACTGCAAAAGCAAAAAGCTGATGAGCATGGATGACAGCAGGTAAACACTAGTTTCTTAAGTGCTGGTTCCCCAGGAAAGCTCAGCCTGCGGCTGTCAGCAAGTGCCTTGCTTTAAGGCCAATCATTCACAGCTGGCTTCAATGGGGCACACATTCAGCAG